GTTTAAGTTGCTGATGACTTTTCAAATAGATAATTTGGTGGTAATTATATGCCCTTTACCTATCAATTCCATTGTATTAAAATACCTTTAGAAAATAGAGATACATGTACTTTGTTTTTCTCAGCATTTATGTCAACAAGAGCCCACAGAATGTGTCCTATAAATAAGTTTCAGCTGCATCCATAGGATGGAATAATATGTGACCATTGAAGGTGACAATAGATATAGAAGTATGGGAGGTTCCCTTGATGCCAGGAATTTGAGACCAGCCTGGGCAACAAAACGAGATTCTTTCTACAATTTTTTTTTTATAATTAGCTGAGCATGCTGGTGTGCTCCTGTGGTCCTAGCTACTCAGGAGGCTGAGGCAGGAGGATCACTTGAGCCTAGGAGTTCCAGGCTGCAGTGAGGTAATATATGAAATATATGTAATACACGATTACACTCCAGCCTGGGCGACAGAGCAAGACTCTGTCTCAAAAAAACAACAATCTAACAATTATTGAGTTGTTGAGTTGTTGCTTGTTCTAGAAATGGTCCTAAATACTTTACATAGATTCCCATTTAAGCATCACAATGGTGTCCTGTGAGCTAGCTGCTATTGTCATCTTTATTTTATTAATGAGGAAAATGAAGCACAGAAAGGCTAAGCAATAGCTGGTAAGTGACCGAGTTCCAAGTAGAACTCAAGCCGTAGTTGAACTGAATCCAAACACCAAGCTCATTCTATCCAAATAGGCTGCTGTTTCATTAAGGTAGTGAGCAATAAGAGCTAATAAATATTGTGCTTTCTTCAAAAGAAAATTATTTGTTTTGAAGGCAGAGGAATAACATGCTCTTCTATGTTTGCAGTTACATAAACCAGTGTAGGTTTTGAGATATTGCTTATAATTTCCTGAAAACTCCTCTCGCTCTCATAGGAGTGCTCTACATTTGGCCTGTGCGCATGGCTGTGTGGAAGTGCTCACTCTCTTGCTGAGCAGAAAATGCCAGATTGACATCTGTGACAGACTGAACAGGATGCCTTTAATGAAGGTGTATAGTAGCCAACTCTTTTGGCATGACATAGATTTCACTAAATACATAGAATTAAAATGAATTTATCTCATTTAAATATAACAGGTTGGTGAAATCTGTGGAATATGTATTTTGAATTCTTAGAATTTATAGTCTAATTTTTCATCTAACCCTGATAGGCTGTACATTGCCAGGAAGAGACGTGTTCCATTATTCTGCTGGAACATGGTGCCAATCTAAACATTAAGGATGTCTATGGCAACACTGCTTCATGATGTTAAACATTAAGGATGTCTACGGCAACACTGCTCTTCATGATATTAATCATTAAGGATGTCTACGGCAACACTGTTCTTCATGATGATGTGTATAATAAGGGGACTTCACTGGCAGGAAAACTGCTTTCCCACCATGCAAATATTGAAGCACTAAACAAGGTATAGATCAATCAACTTTCTTTTCAAAATATTTATTTTAACATTGACATAGATAAGAGTCAATTTTTCATATTTGGAAGATCAGGCATTCCTGAATGAAAATATTTCAAAATAACTGAATTGTCTAAGATTTTACTTTAAATATTGATACTTTTAAAGAAGCATTAGCGGGCACAGCTTGTTTAGTGCACTTATGGGAAATATTTGTGAATTTTTCAAGGGAAGACTTCTTTAAGTATCTGTTTCCTACCCCAGGTGTATTTTTTTCTAATTATGTAAAACACACACACACGAAAAGAACTTACCCTGGAAATAGGCTTTATCTTAAAACTCAGAACAAAACTAAAGCAACTTGCTGCTGCTGACAGTTTTCTCAAAAAAAACTGATGTGCCTTTCAGTGCAAGGTTTAAAAGGGAAAAATGGGGAGGGAAAAGGAGAGCAATCAAAAACATGTAGGTCACTTGGAAATTAGGTAATGAGGAAAAATGCCAATAAGAGGTTTTGTTTTTTAGTTTGTTGTTTTTCCAGTTTATGTATAAAGTGCTCTTCAGCTTTGGGGTAATCATTTTCGGTTTGGTAAACACAGTAATTGAAACTTGCCTAAACGTTAATTTTTAGAGGACTCTGAGGAAACCAGATTGGCCATGGATAGATGGTGATGAAGTGAGAAACACTTCAGCAAAGGATGGAACAAATTAGTGACTGACTTACTACCCATCCTAGCAAAAACAGCCACTTAGCTAAGAGTCTAAGCTCTCCTCTGAAATCTAGAATGTCTTGGTGGGAAGGTGGGAGATAAGGAACTTATAAATAGCTAAATCAAGTGGGATTTTGAGTTTACTTGTCCCTGTTCTAGCCATACCCAGGAAAATTAACTGGAGTGTTAATAAATAACTCTATCTCATACTCTTTTCTCTTTTTGGCCACATCTCAAGCTGATAAAGGATATTGACGGTGTGGGTGAGTGATGAAACTGAAGTGATTGTCTACTGCAGTAATTCTCAGCTAGAATTGTGCATTACAGTGACCTGGGGGAATTTTGTTAAAAGTCTACATATGTAGGCTTTCCCCTGAAGATTTTGATGTAACTGAGCTAATAAGGTCTGAAAATGTATGGTTAAAAATATTTTCTTGAAGCCACACACAGTGGCATGTTTCTATAGTCCCAGCTACTCAGGAGGTTGAGGTGGGAGGATTGTTTGAGCCTAGGAGTTTGAGTCCAGCCTGAGAAACACAGTAAGACTCTTTTCTCTTACAACAGCAACAGCAAAAAAAAAAAAGAAAAAAAGAAAAAAAAGAAATACCTCAGGGTTTGAATACACTCCTGATTAAGAACCACGGAATAGATAAGTACAGTATATAAATTCCCGTATCTCAGAAACATAAGAAATCTCTAAAAGAGTTGGCATTTGATAGGTGCTACTTTCTTCACAGTTCTCCTTTCCAATAACGTTAGCCTGACTTATCTGTCTTTCTCTGCGTTTGTGACTAGAAAGTAAAAGAAAATATTGTTGGCAATATCTCTCAGCTTATAGAATAACACTTTTTCCTTCCCACCATGAATCATTCACTGCTGTTCAGAGAGTCTTTAGCAATTTTCTTGTGGGTAGTCTTTCAACAGGTAAAGGCTGACCCTTTCACAATTTCATGTTCCTTTGTTACCATTCAAGTGATTATGTGTCAACAAATGTTCATTACAAGTGAAATTTTCTCATTTAGATTAGTAGCAAATCCTGAACCTTTTTTTTTCATTTGAAGTTGTATTATGGACTATCTCAGTATGTCTGTTAAGTTTATGGAGCTTTGGCATAATCAGGATGTCAGTTTTAAACACTGAAATCCATGAAGTCAATGAGAATACTATAGGAATTCTTTTAATAAGTTCGTTTCAGCAGTCTTATGAACTAATTATCTATTTGGTTAACAATCTGGGAAAATGGTATACAAACAGATTTCAAATGAATAAATTTTGGGAAATTCTTAAGGTGGGTATTATGAGTCTTAACAGCAACTTTTATATATATATATATCAGGGGCTGATTTTTATATAAAATATGATACTAGAGAAAGAAAAAGTTTCACACGCAAATACTTGGTTTATACAAAGTCATTTAGTAACACATTCATAGAAAATATAAATACACAAAGGCTATAGTCTAACTAAATGTGGCACATATATTTGTTTATTTGCCTCTTTAAATTGAGTCAACATGTAAAATTTAGCAGACTCATGCAGGAATCTGGACCTCAGGCTTGTCTCAAGAATCAAATCTGGTGTCCCCCAAACCCCATCACTGCTTGGTCTGCTGTGCAGAGGTTGCCCTGTGTAGGAGGCACATATTCTCCAGTTTGCCACTGTGCCCACCTGAGTACTTCACTTACCTAGGTAACCTCCTCCATCCTTATAAGTATTTGAGTTTACAGCTTCTGTTTTATATTATATTTTCATAAAGATTTCAAGATTTTCAAGACAGTGTATATTGGTTATATAGTCTATAGTTTATAAATCCCTCAATTGTGGGGTAGAATTTTAGAATTCAAAAGTTTTTTTTTAACTCTTTTTTTTAATATATATGCCACAAATAGTCATCTGCTTGTAAGAATGCCTAGAAGCCTTTTTAGTTTATTCCTGGTGAGAGTTGGCTAGTTTATGAATATTGCAGACACTATATCATTCTTCTCAGCAATGTCCCTTAAAAATGCAAGTGACTTATTGGCTTTTATTATGCTAGAAATAAGCCATATATATCAATATTAAAATTTTTATTGATAATCCATTGTAATTTCATTTCCGATTTATATTTTGCCTAAAGTAAAAAAATGTTAAATAGCAATTTAAATGGAAACCAATACAAATGGATTTAAAAAGTAAAGTTGCATTAGCATCCCAGGATTATCATTATAATTGACAATAAAATTTCTTACTGAGCTTTGCTTTTTAAATATTTGTTTTCAAACATTTTAAACCTGTCTCTCTTACACAGAATATACTGAGCTTTCTAACAGTTAAGATAAAAATCTATCCTCTTGTATTAGGAGAAATCCCATGGACTACTTAATAATAATGAAAATAAGTGCATTTGAAGCCAGTCTCTTAATTCAGAGCTCATTTCCTTAGTGACCCATTTGAATCAGGAGTGCCTGACATTGGGATCTGGGATCCTGACACCATTGATAGACGTAAATCAAGCAAGTTTGTACCACCCAGAGGAAACCTCCACCTGAATTGGGAAGTTCTGGCAACCGTATCCCTGAAACTCTAGTTCCTAAAATGTTAATATTTGTCACAAAAAGTATTGTCAAATTGGGATTAGGCAAAGTTGAAGGGATTTCTTGATTGTTGGCCACATAGTACAGTTTTGTAATATTTGTCAAATGCAGATGATCATCTCATCTTTCTGTTGGGATACAGTTCTGGTAAAACAAATATTCTTTGGTACATAGTTTAAGAAACACTGCTCTAAAGATAATAATTTACATCATTAATTTATTTTAAAAACCTAAAGCATTTGCTACTATGTATTAGGTTTTAGGGTTATAAAGAAAAAAGACACAGCTCTTGCCCTCAAGAAACTCTTGGTTTCAGTGGGAAACAGTGAAATAATTACAACATATTGTGCTAAAAGCTGTGATAGAATCAAGGATTTTGGGGATTTGTAAATAAAGTCAGGTTTGGAGATGATCTAAGTGAACGTGGGGAGGCAGAGGAGGGGTGTTTGCAAGGCAGTGTGTGGTAAAGCACAGAGGAGTGAAAAGGAAGGGACTGCTTTGCATTTACTTTCTTTCTATATTGTATGTTTAAATTCATAGCATCTTATAGGAGATTTTTAGTTCAGTTGAGAAATATGTAATTTTGTGAATTATAAATTGTTTTTGCTTTCTTACAGGAGGGAAATACACCACTTTTGCTTGCTATAATTTGTAAGAGACAGCAAATGGTGGACTTTTTAGTAAAGAACCAGGTAAATGTACATGCTGTTGATAATTAGTCCACTTTTTAGCCAGAAATCAAACAGAAAGCTAGACTAGTTAGAAGTAGCAATGAGTGTAAGATTCTTTCAGGACTTTTAAAGACTTTTATCCTTAGGGATCTCAGTGTTGTTCATTTTATTCCAAGTATAACCTTACATGTGAGATATAAATAGTGTCACATCTTTTACTTTTCTTTCTTTTTTTTTTTTTTTTAAACAAGGTCTCATATGTTGCCCACATTCCTGAGCTCAACAGATTCTTTCAGGACTTTTAAAGACTTTTATCCT